TTTAGGGTTTTGTGGGTTTAGGGTTTTGGGGTTTAGGGTTTTAGGGTTTTAGGGTTTTGGAGTTTTGGGTTTAAGGGTTTTGGGGTTTAGGGTTCAGGGGTTTTGGGGTTTAGGGTTTTAGGGTTGTGGGTTTTAGGGTTCAGAGGTTAGGATTTCAGGGGTTAGGCACTGCAAAGCGAAAGCTGGCAATCATGTAGCCATGGCAGTAAAGAGCATATTGACTCTAAGTTCACCACTATCACAGCCATAATCAGCGAGAATGGTGCCAATAAGAAAATGAGCTTAAAGATATGCCAAGCACGGTGCCAATAAACGTCGTCACCCCTAAAATCCTAAGCTATAAACCCTAACCACTAAGGCCCAATAGCAGCCATCACAAAGATGCCTTCGAGCTGCGTCTAAAAGCACCGAGCCGCTAAATCTTAATCCCAGAACCCCAAAGCTCGCACCAACCTGAAACCCCAAACCCAAAGCCCAAACCCCATGGCATAGGGGCCTGAACGATTAACAATACTATTTCTCGCAGTTGCTTATGTGTAAGTCTAGTAGACCCGAAAACCGCCTTCTAGCTAGTAAGGCACGTGTGTCACATAACCTTTGTAGAGCCCTTGTGGCAATGCTAATAGTAGCCCTTATAGAGCTTTGAGAACCCCAGTTCTTCAGATCTCAACCCTGAACCCTCAGCCCTGAACCCTAAACCCTAGACCCCAAGCCCTTCACCCGAAGCCCTAAACCCGAAGCCCTAAGCCCTAAACCCTAAATCCTAAGCCTAAAGTCCTAAGCCCTAATGCCCAAGCCCCTATCTCTAAGCCCTAAACCCTAAGCCCTAAACCCTAAGCCCTAAGCCCTAAACCCTAAGCCCTGAGCCTGAAGCCCCAAGCCTTAAACCCTAAGCCCTGAGCCCTAAGCCCTAATGCCTAAGCCCTAAACCCTACATTCATCCGAAGCCCAAAGCCCTAAACCCTATACGCCCTCAGCCTTAAACCCTAAATTCATCCGAAGCCCAAAAAGGCTTCCACTACACTGCTTGGTCGACGCACGGCGACCTCCGGACAGCGGGGGAGCTGCGGCACAGGCCAAGCAGGGGGTGGGGCTTGGGGCTTGGGGTTTTAATTTGGGGTTCAGGGCTTAGGCCTTTAGTTTGGAGTTTAGGGCTTCGGGTTTTTTGTTTAGGGTTTTAGTTTGGGTTTTACGGTTTAGGATTTAGGATTTTTATATGGGGTTCAGGTTTAGGGCGCAGGGTTTGTAGCCGGAAAACAGCCCCAACAAATCCATACAAAACGCTTGTAGCAGCCCATGCGCCCTGAACTCCCTAAACCCTAAACCCTAAGCCCTAAACCCTAAACCCTAAACCCTAAACCCTGAACTCCAGGCACGTGGCTCTGCTCAAGGGATTGCTGTCAGAGGGGACCCGGGCGGTTCTGGAAAAGCACAGCGCCCTGAGGCGGTCAGGGATGCTCCGAGCCACGGTGTAGGGTTTAGGGTTTAGGGTTCTCAAAAGGGAACCCTACACTCAAAGTTCCCATTTAAGTATTAAACCACAGCTGAGGATGCAAATGGCTTTGGGGATTGGGGGTTTGGGTTTAGGGTTTATAAAGGACGGTTTTGTGAGTGTTGTATCCTTCCCCGCTCCATAAGCAGTTATGAATGAACAGCGTAGGGACTTGTAAGGGTGGAAGAAGGGTCCATGTTCAAAAGTTGGTTGGGGGTCACTTCGGTTCCCGTTGATCTGATCTGGGTTGGGTTCGGGGTTGGAGGACACTAGGGTTCCCGTACTTGGGGGGCTTTCAGAGTTTGGGGGGGAGTTGTGGTTCCACTTTTTCATATCTTTTTGGATTTTAAACTTCAGGCTTTATGGCTTGCGGCTCCGGTATTCGGTGTTGAAAGCGTGGGCGATGTTTGGGAGTTGGAGTTTCGTATTGGCGGTTTCTAGGTTGCGAAGTGGGGGCTGAGACCTCGGTTTTGTCGGCTGGAGGGTTTGGAGCGTTCAGAGGGCCTTCAGTGTTGCTGGGGTACTATCGGGCTCGGAATAATTCGTAATTAGTCGCGCTCTTCCTTAGTCTCCCTATCAGGTTTATGGTACAATATTCATATACCCCTCCCCGAAACCAGTTTTTGAGTATTCAGGCTCCTGCGTTACCGTAAGGCCCCCCGCTACTACCCTATCATAGCAGCCTGATTAAGAAACCTGGTCCTATAACCCTCAATATATTAGGGCTCATATAAAGAGCCCTAAGGTTTGTTAATGTCCTATAACCCTCAATATATAAGGGCTCATATAAAGAACCCTAATAAAGACCCAAGGTTTCTTAGTCAGGTTCCTACGTTACACCCGGAGGTCGATCAGTTCACGGCACAGCAGACGAATTCTAAGGCTCCCGCGTTCTGGCTTTTATGTGCGACCAACAAGCAGCTCAGTGCTGTCGATACATTCCAGCAGGTGAACAATAGCAAAACTCCCTAAACCCTAAACCCTAAGCCCTAAGCCCTAAACCCTAAGCCCTAAACCCTAAACCCTAAACTCTAAAACCCGAAACGAGAGAGAGGAGGAAGGCAAGGCTGCAACGCTTTCGTTTCCGGCCTTCCCTCTTGCCAACAACCACCCCCGCCTCGACACCAGCAACTTGAGCAGATAAAACTTGAGCATATCCTTTGCAAGAATTCTCTGGGTCAAGTGTCGCGTGCGCCAAACCCAACAAAAAACAGGCTCTGGCCTTGTCTGCACAACGGTTTCTACACGCCCCTAAGGTGCAAACTGGAGCATCTGCGTTACCCTGAACCCGAGACCTAATAGTGTAGGGATCCCTACACATTCCCGAAATCAGCTCAAGGCTTACTGCAGCATCCTTTCCAAACACAAGAATATCGCAGACAGACGCATGCAACGGGCTTGATAGAACCCTTTAAATCCTTAAGAGGCCGACGACGGCCCCCAGACCAGATGCCCAGCTGCAGGGACGAGCGCGACGTCGCCGTGTTCCTGCACTTCCCCCCCAACATCTTCCGTCTTCATGTGCACTTCGTGCCTGTGAACAGGAAGCCGGCAGGGTTCCAGTAAGCCCGCACGGAGTCTTGGGTTTAGGGTTTAGAGTTATTCATAGCGTTCAGTAATGCATAGGGTTTCACGTCGACTGGTTCCAAGCGGGGTGGGGGGGAAAGATCGCGGTGCACGCTTTGAGCTCAGCTTGTGGCAACGCCTCAAACCTTCGTCCCAGACTTCGCCTTCAGCAAAGCACAAACCACCTGTTGCGGTCGGTTTGTCGCGATCCCCTCCTCAAGCCGTAAGGAGTAAGGAGACCCTGAGCCCGAAAGTCCCACATCCTACTTAGCCTGCGTACTGAAGAGGCTGCGTTAGCAAGTCCTTCATTGCATCTTAACATAGTTATGTGTCCTTGCTTTCGTGTTCTTCGTCTCCCTGTTCTTCTTCTTCTTCTTGAGGATGTTGCTGATGGTCTGGTGATCGACGACGGCCGTTGCTGTGAATGACCATGATGATGACAATGTTTTCGGATAATGATGATGATCCGCACCAAAAATCGCAGCCAGCCCTCATGATAGTTCCGTTTCCTTGGTGAGAGGACTATGTGGGCCCCAGCAGATGAGGTCGGCGTTTCCTGTAGCGCTTGGGGCGTAGGGATCGATCTGTTCGGGTTTAGATTGTGACGGCGGGAATGCAAACCTTCCTTTCGGCACTGGATCATGCAACAGGCAATGCTTCTGTGAGGCCTGTATAGAACCCTTACACAAGGGGTCGGGAAGGTCTGACTTGGGGGTATGAAGTTAGCTACCTAGGGCATAGATAGGCGTTTGGCCTAGCACAGAGCAGTTGAAGATTAGCACCCTTTATTGCAACCCTTATAATTTATAGATGCCTTTATGGAACCCCCAAAATGGCCCTCATTTGCAGAACTACCCATTTAGCATGATGATAGGGCCTCTCATAGGATGGATTTCTTGCGATGGAGCCGGAGTCAAATGAGATTAATAGGGTTTAGGGTTTGGGGTTTAGGGTTTAGGGTTTAGGGTTTAGGGAGGTTTAGGGTTTTGGGAAACAGTGGTTCCTCAGTAGTTGCTATGCCAACTTGTTCCTGTAATTTTGCTCTTCTTTCTAAGTCTGTTGCAAGTGTTACCCTTTCTTCTTGTGTTCTTGTTTCGAGTCCCTGTCACCGTTCTTTTCGCACTGGGAGGTTTGTACGGCTTGCCCTCGTCGCAGGTCGTGCCACTCGAGCCATTGATACAGTCCGAAGCTCAGCCACCTTTCTAGAGGTGCTAAGACCGAAAACCACCTGAGCATGGACTCCTTAAGGTAAATGGGTAAAGGGCCCTTAATACTTAGAATAGGGTTTCGGGCTATATTATACTATAATTATTGATAAGGAGCCCAAAGAGAGTATTTGTAATTACTAAGGCCCCTGTAGTAGGTGTATTGATTCTGGCATCAGCATTTGGGTCCAGTCGCTTCTGAGGCTGCAGCAGACTAAGCGAAGTGCCGCGAAGCACCTAAACCCCAAACCCTAAACCTTAAACTGGAAAACCTAAACCACAACCCTAAACCCTAAACCCTAAACCCTAAACCCTAAACCCTAAACCCTAAACCCTAAACCCTAACTGACTTTCAGGTTGTCCCGACGTGGGTTGCTTTGAAGTTCAGCATTCGGAGGCTGACCCCTCATCCCTCCTAAACTCTGAACCCTAAGCCCTGAACCCTAGACCCCTAAACCCCCCACACCCCTAAACCCCTAAGCCCTAAACCTTCATCCCTAAGCCTTAAATTTTCATCCCTAAGCCCTAAACCCTAAACCCTAAACCCTAAACCCTAAACCCTAAACCCTAAACTCCCATCTCGCTCCCAAGGTCGCTGGAGTCCATGACTCCCTTCGACAATCGCGCGAGCCCCGTGGTGAAGATCCTTCCGACGCTTATCTGAACGGTTTAGGGTTTAGGGTTTAGGGTTTAGGGTTTAGGGTTTAGGGTTTAGGGTTTAGGGTTTAGGGACTTATCTGTATAGCATAGTACAGCATCGTATAGTCTAGTATAGTACAGCATAGTATGGCATAGCATAGCACAGCATTGTATAGTATAGTATAGTCAGGTATAGTAGAGCATAGTATAGTATATTATAGCATAGTATAGTATAGTATCTAATACAGTAGATTACAGTATAAGATAGTATAATAAGGCAAAGCATGTTGCACTGTCGTATCTAAATCCCAGGCCTGGAAGTCCTGCAGTTGAAACCCTGGTGCAAAACACATCTGGAGCTTTAGGGACAGGCGTCTTAGGGTTTGGGTGTCGGGTTTAGGGTTTGGGCTTTAGGGTTTAGGGTTTAGGGTTTAGGGAATAGGATTTAGGGTTGCGCGACTCCGTCGGTTTTGGGTTCCGGTTGCTTTTCCTGTTGAACATCGTTAAAGATTCCATTCGGGTGGCTTGGCTGAACCCTAAGCCCTAAACCTTCAACTTTCTTCGAAGAAGAGCGTTAACCCTAAGTCGACGGCCCAAACCTCAAAATCCGCAGACCCTGAGCCCTATTCGCGACATCCTAGCCCCTCATATCCTCCACCCTAAACCCTGAAGCCCTTACCGTAAATCCTAGACCCTAAACCCTAAACCGAACCCCAGAAGCCTAAACCAGAAGCCTGCCAGGAGAGTCAGCGGCTCTCATGTGTTGACCTGCCGAAGCTGGGGATGAACAAATCGGCGCAAGGCTTGGTGGATTCAAAACCCAGGGTTTAAGGTTTAAGGTTTAAGGGTGTAGGGTTTAGGGTTTAAGGTTTAAGGAAAACTGGTAAACTATAGAAGATAAAATAATTACCAACATATTATTCCTCAGGGTTCTTTTCTACTATAAAGGAACCCAACACCCTATTCTAATTATCAAGGCCCCTACATTAGGGCCAGCGCCATGCACCCGAATGAGTTCCCTTAAGCTTGCAGCCTTCCACTGGCCGCGACACGCCATGACATGCAACTTTTCTTGGCCTGCTCTATTCCAGGACCCTCTTGCGCACTGCCTCGAGTGGATTTTCATCTCAGCTAAACCCTAAACCCTCAATCCTAAACCCTAAACCTCAGTCCTAAATATTCTCAGCTGACTTTAACCCGAGGAAAGAGTTACCAAGTCATATTTCTAGCGCTGCATCACTTTGAACTTGGCCCCTGCAATCCCAACCCTGAACCCTTCAACCCAAACCCGGTCTCTTATGCCCGCAGCCTCAATGCGCTTGGAGGCTCGTCAAATCCTTGCAAGAGCAACGGCTACTTCGCCGCTTGGGGTACCTCCTTCCGGGGACTCCTTCGCGATGACTGCCGACGGCGACTAAGATGCGGGCGATGGGATCCTTTTCCTCCTATCCCAAAGCTTTGAAACCCGAAGCCCTAAAACCCAAAGCCTCAAAGCCCTGAACTCGAAACCCTAAAGCCCTGACGCCTGAACGCCTGAAGCCTTAAACCTCCTCTGATCCCTAAAATCCTCAACCCTACAACCCGAAGGCTCCAAGCCGCAGACTCCCTCAAGACAAACCCTGACCCCTAAACCCTAAACCCTAAACCCTAAACCCTAAACCCTAAACCCTAAACCCTAACCCCTAAACCCTCTAACCCTCTAACCCTCTAACCCTAAACCCTAGAAGCCCTAGTAAAGGCAGGATGTACCCCATCACACCTTCGGTAAAAAACTTAAAACCCCCTCGCAACCAAGGAGACTGCTCTGCTGCTGCCGAAGCGTCACTGGGGGGACGTTGTGGGCTGCGTCGGGAGCTTCTGCTGCTTCCTTGACGGGCCAAAGCCGCGTGGAGAAGATTAGTACAGGGGCCGAAATATTCATCGATACTCTTAGGGGGATTCCTTATTATTGTGGTTGTACGATACAACACACCTCAAAATCCTATTCTAAGTATTAAGGCCCCTAGACTACCCGAAATCACCGGGACTGACGAGGAACCTGCTGATCGCCCATGTGAACGAGCTCCCAGTTATGACGGAGAGGCTCAGTCTGCTCCGTAGCCTTATTTTGCCGTGCGAGAACATGTCTTATGAAATGGTGCACGCCCTAAGCCCCAAAGCCTACACCCTAAGCCCAAAGCCCAAGCAAAAAACCGTAAGGCCCAAACCCTAAACCGTGAAGGCTAAGCCCTAAACTCTAAAGCCGAAGCCCTAAACCCCAAAGCCTAAACCATAAACCCTAAACCCTGAACCCTAAACCTTAAACCCTAAACCCTGAACCATAAACCTTTCTGGACAGCAGTGTGGATTTAGTCGCAGAGTGAAGACCTTGGTCTCTGCCAGAAGATTCCTCGGGTCTCACCGCCACCACTGGGCCTCCACCGATGGCGAAATGTAGGGGAACCATGGGAGGGGGGGTTTAGGGTTTAGGGTCTAGGATTTAGGTTTAGGGTTTAGGGTTTAGGGTTTAGGGTTTAGGGTCTAGGGTCTAGGGTTTAGGGTTTAGGGTTTAGGCCGTTCAGGCGGTTTAGGGATTTAGGGGGGTTGAGTACTTACTACGCAATGCTATTCCTAAGGCCTCCCCTGGAGGAGCTATACTAGACTGTGCCCCAAAACCCTAAACCCTAAACCCTAAACCCTAAACAATTATCAAGTACCCCATAGAAAACCTGGCGCGAGAAAGTCTAAACCCGAAGCCCGGGTCAGACTTCAGAAAAAAGAAGAATAGGGTTTAGGGTGAAGGGTTTAAGGTTTAGGGTTGAGGGTTTAGGGTTTAGGGTTGAGGGTTTTGTGGCATGTTATAGTACAGTTTAAATAAGGAGCCTCAAGGGAGAATATTGGTAGTGGTAGGCCTGAGCTGTCCCGCTTCCATGACAAAAGGGCCGCCGCCGCCCCACCAAGGGATACTCCCCCGACAAACCCTACACCCTAAACCCCGAAAAAC